AAGAATTTCACTCACATGTGCTGTACCAATGTACCTGCACATGTGATGTGACAATAAAAGTGATTTGATTTGAAGTTTGTGATTAACTGGGGTAAAGTTGGCAATTACAGGCAATCAGTTTCTGATAAAACACCAATGAACTGTGATAAGTCATCAAAAAAATCCCGTGTTACTGTCTGCTTAGACATAAATTCACATTTAACTGCACTCAGCGAATTTCCTGATTTATACAAATACCAAATAAAGTAACATGTTACCAACCAAAATACAACCAGCTGGTAGCAAGCTGAGCGCACTCTTGTAGAGAACCAGACTCGTTAGTCTGGTGGTATCGATTCTACTTACCAGTTCCAGCTGCACTTGCACTACAATCAGATGATTTTAGTTCATGGTGGTGGAAAACAGTCTACAGTCTACAGCATGGATGTGGCCGTTACTTTTATTTTTGTTGGGCAAAAATGCAAAAGTGCGAGTACAGGGGAAAATGCATCCAGAACAGAAACAGCTGTATTATGGTGATAACACGACTTCAGTTCTTTGCAAAGCAGACACGATGGAGCTAATGAAGACAACCTGGCCAACGCACAGAGCAGGAGAGCTAATGTTACGATTGTTAATATCCCGGAGAAGTCTGAGGGTGATGATGTATTTGGCTACATCATCCCAGGCTTTATGGGGAGGAACCCTTCCAAGCAACGGTCATCATAGAGAGAGCACACTGCTTGGGAAGAGCGGCGGATGGGGTCCAGCTTATCCTTGTTAAGTTTCTCAACTACAGGGATGAGGACAAAGTGCTCCGCTCGGCCAGAGACAAAGGGACTGTACCTGGATACTAGCCGAGCCTCCTTTATCTGCACTACACCATCGAGATGATCACTTTCAACAAGGTGAAGAAAAAACTTTGAGAGAAGAACCTTGAGTACAGCAGCACCTATCCTACCAAACTGTGGCTCTGACATGAAGTTTTTCCTCCATCTGAGGTGGAACCTTTCCTGTCCAGTGTGGAAGAGGCCTACAGTAAACCACTGTTACACATGATGATGTAAACATTAAAATGAGTAACTATCAGCTGCGCCTTAAATGTCTAAACACTGTTTTGTTATATGCAACAATTGGTTATCATGCATGCTACTTTGTACTATTTTCTGTGAGCTGGTTTGAACGCTGAGGCGCTCAAGGTTAGAGATGGAGTCCTACCTGCCCGCGTTTTTGTCATGGGGAGATTACAGGATGTTTTTTTCTTTTTTCCCTCTCCACTCTCTCTGTACCACGTTTGACTCTGTAAGTGTTGGAAATCGTAAACATCTGGCAACAAGTCGCAGGCTTAGTCAGACGCTGAGCTGCTCTCCTAACCAGGGAAAGATTCATTTGCAGTGTGTAAACTGAACAGGACGGTTAGACTGTGTTTGATGTAGAGGGAGTAACTCCCCCATCAAAAAGAAGAAAGCATTAACATATCTTAAAAAACCACCTCACTAGTGCAGTCTCTGCACATTTAAAATCGTGCAGAGACTGGGTCGGCCATGTTTTTTATTCGTCATCCAAAGCTAAAGGTGTGGCTTATTAATAAAAACCATAGATGTTCAATTCAACAGAGAAAGACAAACATGGCAGGTTCATTTTGATAGACTGTGTAAAGGACATGAACAGAATAGTACTGGTATCCTTGTATGGCCCACATTTAGATGACCCACAATTTTTTAATAGTTTAATACAGCAGGCAAAGTCCAAAGTGTTTGGGCGGTGATTGAACCCGTCAATGGATCGCTCCATGGAAAACTAGTTTCTATATCTCCAGCCTGACAGAATTGGGCCTAAGTGATGTTGAGCAGAGAATATTCATTTTATTCAACTGTTCCTAATACTCACTGAAGAACTGACATGTCTTTGGCCTCACAGACACTCCTCTACCATTTCAGATCACAGTCCTATAAAAATGGGATTGAAGCTTCACCAACCTGAGCCTCTTTCTCCTCCTTCTGGGTGGAGATTTAGAGGATATTTGCTAGAAGACCTCAAAATTATTACTTGTATGAATACTAAACCGGACGTGTATCCAGAGGTAAACCTAAACACCTCCTCACATTCAAACATATGAGAAGCACTTAAAGCTTATATGAGAGGTCACATTATTTCACATGTCTCATATAAAAACAAACATAAACATGAACAGCCACATGCTGCTGTGATCACAATGACCTCGGAGCTGTGTGGATTTCAGTTCTGGATACTTGGAGACGTTGCGTCTCTAACACTGCACCCTAGTCGGAGACACTTTGTGTTGCTTACATCGACTGCAGCAAAAAAGTGTGCACTTAAAAACTGGAAATCAACAGAGCCTCAGAAACACTGGATAAACGAGCTGTCATCATACTGCACTCCCCAAAAAATCCTCCATTCAGTCCGGAGGAAATTAACAGAGTTTGAGTGGACGTGGATCCCTCTCTGAATTTTCTAACATGACTGGACTTGAGGGACCGATCAGTGCTACTCTTCACTGGTTTGTCTACAGCACAGGTGTCGAACTCCAGGCCTCGAGGGCCGCTGTCCTGCTCGTTTTCCAACTAACCTGCCCTTGAAGCTTCATATTGGCAAAGCACACCTGATCCAGGTAATCAGCAGCCGGTAGGGCAGGGATATCTCAACAACAAGCAGGATGCTGGCGCTCGAGGAGTTTGACACCCCGGGTCTACGCTTTTACTTATTTATTTTACTCTATTTTGTGTCTGTGCCTTATTTATTATCTTTTTAAAACAAAAAACAGAATGTCCTGCTGTAATGCACACTGGATGCAAACCTTTGTTATGTATTGTATGTATTGTATGGGCGATCGTGGCTCAAGAGTTGGGAGTTCGCCTTGTAATCGGAAGGTTGCCGGTTCGAGCCCCGGCTTGGACAGTCTCGGTCGTTGTGTCCTTGGGCAAGGCACTTCACCTGTTGCCTACTGGTGGTGGTCAGAGGGCGCCAGTGTCCGGCAGCCTTGCCTCTGTCAGTGCGCCCCCTGTGGCTACAATGTAGCTGCCATCACCAGTGTGTGAATGGGTGGATGACTGGATATGTAAAGCGCTTTGGGGTCCTTAGGGACTAGTAAAGCGCTATATAAATACAGGCCATTTACTTAATAAAAAACACACAGTAAAGGCAGTAAATGTATGACAGGGCCTAGAAAGCAGGGACGTGACAATACCAGAAGATTAGTAGTGGGAACAGTCCCAGTACAATTATGTGATTCCCATTTTGATACCAAATTAAAATGACTGTCCCAGCTACGTAACCACAATCGTCTTTAAAATCAGTGACACGGTGGTGATAGACCACGAGAGGACATGACACTGCCTGATGTTAGCGTGGCTGCTGTAGCCTGCTGATGTTACTGTGAGCTAAAACAGCAGTTATGTTAGCTTAAGCATTTCTACAATGGCCTCAGTGAACACTTGTGTGTCTTTCACAGTAACAGAAGGGCAACACTGGAGGCTGCTTGATGTTGAATTGAAACCTGTAATTCTTTGAACAGATGCCAGACTTTCAGGTGCTCTGGTAAACTGGAAGCATTTTCTCTCCCAGTATAAAAAGCATGATAGCACTGGTTGCATATTATCCGTTGTTAACCTTTGGTCACTGACTGAATGCAACAAACTTTCATACCCGACTCTGCCCTTCTTATCACTGAGCTGGAGCAGAGCTGCCTAGCTGTAGTTTTCAGTGTGTATGCTGGGTCCTTATTGTTCTTCGTCACCACCAGCTGCATGCATGTGCTGCCCCCTTCAGTTCCAGCAGAACTGGAGCCTCGGTAAATATGCTGCTCACAGTACCTTATACTAAATTATCCATCCGTTCATTTCTTCCATGTGTCCACTTCAGAGTAACTATCGTCATGTTATCAGAATTTCTGTGTCAAAATCAATACAGGCTCTGGTCACAGCCAGAGCCTGTATTGATCACAGTTCTGTCATATTCAGTTACTCTTATTGGCTCCTTATTAAATCCAGAGTCAAATTTTAAAAAGCTCTGATGCCCATGGTTTTTGGGTTGGGTCTGCTACTGGTCTCAAGTGTAGATAAATGGGAAGGTTGTATGAGAAAGTGTTTGGCTAAAAAACCTGCGCCAAACCAAACATTTGACTGATTACGTCACATGAATACGTTAAACAGATTAATAAGATTATCCAAGTTACCAGAACCAGTCAAAAACAACACAAAAGTCAAAAAGCCCGTGGATCATGTTGGCATTTAGAGTTTTCTCAACTTTTTCTTTATTGTCCTGTGTGCATTCATGATGCCTTTCTCCCCCCTCCATATGTGCTTATATGTCCCTAATACATGTGATTAGTTCTACCTGCTTTATACTGTGTGGTCTTTTCCGTTTCCCATCACTGCCCAGCCAGTCACGGGCCGCAGCAGATGGCTGCCCTTCCCTCAGCCTCATTCTGTTGGAGACCTCTTCCTGTTGAAGGGCTCTATCTGACTGCTGGGGCTCTTACCTTTTGCATCAGCAGCTCCATGAACAGAACAGCTGCTGTGATCTAAATAAACACAAGCTACACTGAGACTCCTGCTATTTTTAGCTCCATCTGTGGAGCATGCATGGATATATTACACAGTCAGAGATGGTGTGTATTGGTCACGCTATTATTCTGATGTGTTGTTGAGATTCTGTGTAGAAGTCCACGGTGGACCGAGACACGAGTGTGTCTCCACGCAGAGCTGCTATTTCTACTGAAGCCCAGTCCTTTTACACGTTAGACAGAAATATTGCTACGAGCGTAATTTTCATATGAATGAATGTTTCCAAATTAACCTCGGTTGCTACGGTAGTGTGTGTGCGTGCGCGCGCGCGCGCGCGACAGCCTACTTACGGGATGCTGAGGATGCAGCGCTGGAGTTGCTGATGATGTTACAAAAGACGGGCAGCAGTAACAAAGCGCTCCGATGAAACATGTTATCCGCACGGTGAACGAGACGAGCACAGACAACAAAGCAGGTGCAGGCGGGATCCCGTGCCGCGTTCCCTCCGCTGGGCTGTCTGTTGTTCCAGCGACACACAGCCGAGACGCGGTTTTCCTTTATTAGCAGCCAGGAGCAATGGTTGTCCGCCCACTGCGTCGTGTACGTCTTTGCTTTCTCTCCTGTCCCATCAATCTGCCCAGCGGCACCCCAGCTGACCTCAAACGACACCCTCCGGTACCAGCCTGTGATGCGGGCCGGGCCTCGAGCTCCAGGTGCGTGGTCAGACAGTGCGATGGAGGAGCAATCAATACACCGCAGGAGCAATCGATACACCCCCACTCTACACAACACTTGGTACGGTCTGATATGTACAACAATACAGGGTTCTTTGAAAGGAGGGGGGACAGAGGGGTAACAGAAGGGTCCGCACGCGTCCCGGAGGGAAAACACGAGAGAGGTGGCACAAAGCACAGAAAGGCCTGGAACAAAATATCATCTTCAGTTTATTTTTAACATAAAAACATGGAAATTAGCCCCCACGACAGACTCACACCACAAATTCAGACTGAAAGATACATTAAACACACACAAACAAAAGGCCTGAATTAATATATAGAAATGGTTCGGAGTAAAAACAGGCCAGTTTACACCATAGCATACTAAAGACAGTGCGCTCACACCACAGATGTGTCCCTGCTCGTGTAAAGAGCAAAGAAATAAACATAATGAAATATTCTTTAGAAATGATCACAAAGCAGCTCTTAATGAGGCTTCAAGGATAAATGAATGATGACAACTTCTTTGTCTTATAGTCAAATTTCAGGACTTCATGAAATCCTTTTTACAATGTAAGCGCATTTTTGGGTGACTTCACTTCATGATCAAAATCAATAAACAAACAAAAAACAGTGTAAAAAGTATTTACACTCAGGTTACTCTCACAAAAACAAGATTTAGACGGAGCTTAATGATGGTACACTTTAAGACACTGTAATCCTTGGCAATGTAACTAAATGACACATTTTCAGGTGTAATGTAGTTATTTTTATGTAACATTATTAACATTGTAACTATTTATATAGAATTAAATAAATAATAATTAAACATAAATAGTTACTAAACCCACTTCTGTTAGTGTTTGTTTCTTTAAGGAAGAACAGGAGAGTGATTATCTTTTAAAAGATTTCATTTGTTTCAGCAGTTGAAGTTTCAGCGCTGGATCAACGGTCTGCTCTACACAAAGGATGACCCTGCAATACAGTTTCATACCACAACAAGAACAAGTCTGATTATGACTGTCTTCTTCTACGATGTGGCCGGTCCTGCCATCCTACGAGTGGATCTTCTCCTGCACTTCATCCTCGTCTGACCTCGTCTGCATCTGCTCCAAAGAAAAAACACCTCCCTAACCTAACCTCGCTATATTAATATTATCTAGCAATTCTCAGCCTGTTGTTCTCTGCTTATTATCCAAGTCCGGGACATTCTGTTCGGACTCTCATGGCACAGAGAAATATCGCCCTGACTTTAACTAGTTATGATGTTTAAGCATGTTTGCAATTCCCTCTGCAGCTCAACATGTCAGTCTCAATATTCAACTCAATCATTGTGCTGAATTGATGCTGAATTGATGACACAGAGTTAATAAGCAAAGTTCCAATGTGTATATAAAAATCACAAAAAAACTTTGCTTAATCATTTCATTCCTAACGCGCCGTCAGTCAGTTTCTATTCAGTGTGAAATCCAAACAGAAGCCATCTTGAAGTATTTTACATAGTAAGGTTATATATTAATCTAAGGTTGCTATAGAGAGAAACCTAATGATTACATTCAAACAAGCGCTTAGCAACAGTGGGAAGGAAAAGCCCCTTCTCTGTTCCTCATGTTCCTTTTTATTCCCCTTTTACGGCGGATTTCACAGTTTTTGTGTCTCTAACACTTCACAAAATGCTTGTTACCTCTTTAATTTCACTTCCCATTGTCTCCCCAGCTGTGACCTGCTGAAAAGAAAACATGGCACCTGAAGACAGCACACTGAAGGAAACGTGGTGAACCAGTCACAGGGCCATGGGCAGTAAAGGCTCAGTGATGCATGCGAGGAGCGAGGGCTGGCCTGTGAGGTTTGAGCCAACAAACGAGCTACTATAGCTCAAATTGCCAAAAAGTTAAAGCTGGTTCTTATATAAAAGGTGTCCCAGCACACCGTGCACTGCAGAGCTGCTCCAGACCAACCAGGTTGACTATGTTGACCTCTGTCCACCACCAAAAGCACCAGCAATGTAAAAGTGAGCATCAGAACTGGACCTCAGAGCAATGAACGAAGTCGGTCTGGTCGGATTGCTTTTTACACTGCATCGATGGCCAGGTGTGTGTATGTCGCTTACCTGGGAACAACTGGCACCAGGATTCACTATGGGAAGAAGGCACGCTGGCAGAGGCAGTGTGATGTTTTTGGCAAACCTTGGGCCCGTCCCTGGGGTAAATGGTAAATGGACCGGCTCTTATATGCACTATTCTACTCTACCTGAGCACTCAAAGCACTTTATGCCTCATTCACCCATTCATACAAGCTCCTTTTTCCATAGTTTTTTCCTAGGTATTCTCACATTCATACTGCATTGGAGATTAACTTGAAGTTAGTATCTTGCCCAAAGATATTTGGCATGCACGCTGGGATCGACTCACCATCCTCTGGTTAGTAGATGACCTGCTTTACCTCCTGAGCTACAGCCATCCCCCTGGTGGCTGGGTCTAATTGAGTCCATGCATCAACGGGTCAGGGCTGTTTTTTGGGGGGAGACCAACACAATATAAGGCAGGTGATGATAATGTTATGCCTGATTGGTGTATATTTACTGTATAGTTAGCAGAAAGGTCAGGTGATGCATTAAATAATGACATCATCATCATCTGTGAACTGACATAATGATCACTTCCTTTGCTAGCTACTCTTGACCAACTATAAGCGACTCAGCAGCCCAAAACATAACTAAATCCACCTGCTGAAACCAACCAATAAACAAACCTCAACAAGGGACCCCAGACTAAAACATGAGCAAAACGAGTCAAAAAAGCCTAACTTTGAAGGTCCAACGTAACAAAACAGTTCTAGAGGTCAACCTGGAGGTTGGCAGCACAAAAGCCGGTAATCTAACTGTTCGGGAGATCAACCTGAAGGTCGGCCACACAGCCATTAAATATTCCTTATTTCAGGAGGTCGACCCCTGAGGAGTCCATGGCAGAACAGTTCAGGGCGCCGACCTCTGAGCCAGTGGCGACAATGGAGCAGTTGAGGATGTGGAAGATGGCGGTGACAGAGTTCAAGAGGCCATCCATGACACTGAAGATGCCCAGGCGCTGGCCTGGAAAGTGGCCGGTGACGGTGAGGTACTAGATGTGGATGTGCGGGCTGAGCAGGACCAGACGAGGCAGGACCAGACGAGGCAGGATCAGACGGTGGTGTGGCAACCACAGGCGAGGTAGCTGGACCAGATGGCAGCGTGGCAGTTGCAAGCGATGGAGCAGGTGGTGGTCCTGCAGGTGACACTGATGGCTGGATGGACTCCTCGGAACCTACAACAGAGACAGACGGCTGAAGCGACCCCTCAGGACCTCCAGCGGAGACAGAAGATGGTTGGACGGGCACCTCGGATCCTCCTGCAGGAACGGATGGCTGGAGTGTTTCTCCAGAACCTCCAGTGGAAACATGAGGAGGCTGGATGAGCTCAGCTGATTTCATAACTGACGCAAGTAGTTGCTGGCTGGCTCCTCATCTGTTCTTTCTATCTAAAATATAACAGCACACTGGAGTAAACTCTCTATCATCTCACACTTCTGTTTTATCAGTTTTCTGTTTGACGTTTATTCAGCTGTGTGAAAACTAGAACTTTAATCTCAGCCAAACCGATTTACTCACGAACAAATAAAACACTGAAAAAAGCCAAACAATAACATTTTTAAGTTGTCTAAGTGACTTATGTATCATGTTTAACCTGAGTAGCGAAAGATCACGGGGGTTTGAAAATGATGTGTTGGGACTTCGCTGTTCTCGCTGGCTCTAGTGAGCCTTGAACTACCGGTCAGCTATCGAGCTGGTGGGTAACAGACGTCTCCGAAAACATCGGAGCGCTTTTGCAAATATGTGATGTTTTGATAAACCGAGCAGATATTTGAAGTTTACACAGCTACTTTCTATAGTTGCAAACAGAGTTGCAGAATGGTACTGAGAAAGTCACTGTCCATCGGGGGTAGCCCCTCCCACAACCAGGGAAAAACTGACACGCATACCCACATCTGGTGTACTAACCCTTCCCATTCCTCCTTTCTGGAGCTATGCAGTCGATAGTGATTCCACAGCCTGAATAATTTCTCTTTCCTGTGTCACTGGGTCCGGCATGGTCAGGTCCTACTGGCACGATCTGTACTGGGAGACTGTGTGGAGGGAGGAAGGGGACCCAAAAGCAAACACTGAGGAAGACTGTGCTAAGGTTGCAAAACAAAAGCGAGCCTTTATTTGGGCTGATTCAAGAACTACAAAACCAAAAAGTGAGAACTAAGACCAGACTATGACGTTATAACTTTGACTGTGATTCTAACTGTGACTTAAACTGAGAAGTAAACTATGATTTTAACTGTGACTATGCCTCTAACTATGACTGTGTCTGCATGGGGGGAGCGTAAGTAGGCGACCTGACAACTAACAGTAAGAGACACAAGACTTAAATACCCAGGAGGGTGATGGAGGGAAGTGAACACACATGGGGAATCAGATGACACAATTGACCATAATGACACCACAGGGCAAGTGTAAACAAAGCACATAGAACATGGAAACAAGACTTTTGAAACAAACAGGAAACATGACGAGACGCAGACATGCCACGAACTTGACAACAAGAAGCACACAGGCATCAAACATGAACCAGGAAGACTTAGTACTGGGGGAGATGATATATAAGGATCTAAAAACCAAAGGACTAAAACGCCAACCTGGACATCGTAGAGATTTACTAGATAAGCTCAACTGAAACTAGAACACAAATGAATAACAAAATACAGTGAAACTCAAAAAACGCTGTGTCCACACGACAGGGCCGTGGTCCCAGTACTGTGACACTCTGCTGCTTTGAGATCAGCTGACTGACCAGCCTTGAGAAACTCTTTCAGTTTTGCTTTGTGATTTGGGTTATTGTTCATTTGCACTGTAACGTGCTGTCTGATCAGATTTGCAGCATTTGGTGTGCACCTCAGAATTCAGTAGGCTGGTTTCACTGGCAGCTATGCATGCCCGTGCCATAACACTGCCTCTAAACTCGTTGACAGATGATGAGATATGCTTTG